CAGGGTTTCCAAGGCTGTAAATCTTTATGGGAGTAGATAGCCTCATCTTTCTCCCATGGAGCGGTAGCTGGTAGTTTCGAACTGCTGACCTTAAGGCTCGCAGCCCAATTCGTAACCACTACGCTACCAGAGCTCCTTAGTCCAAGTGATTTTCAGGAAACTGATTGAGCTATGATACTGTTACTATTTATTCCTGGTGTGGCACTGGACGAACCACAGGTTGACAGTTCAAACCTAACAAGTGCTCCTCAGAAACCCTATACAAGGTCGCTATGAGTCAGAACTGATTTGACGGCACTTAACAACAACTATCTACCATAGGTCTGAGGAAACAGAATGATGCAGAATTTAAGCACCAGTGAGTCAGTGAAATTTAACGGATCTCCAGTTAGTCTGTATTTGATATTCTTGGGATTAATCCCTCTACTCTATCATCTCACCAACAAGCCTCAGCTACTGCCCTGCAGTGATCTCAGAGAAGTGGGGATACCTGAAATCTCCTAGGTGGCAGTTGAATCTGTGCTTTAATTCAAGTCAGTGTGTACAAGTCTGCAAGGGCTGGGTCTTACTCTGGGTCATTCTGTGATGTACGGTGAGCCTGACTTAAATTCTGTGAGTATTTGAGCGCAAGAGTGAACATAACCACTTTTGCCTCTTATGACATCAATATCAGAGTCTCTTCCGACATCCATTTTGGTCTTTTCTTTCTTGTATTCTTAATGACCTTTTGCTTTTCTTCTGTATGATGGTCTGGATGCTATCACACAACTCTTCTGATTTTTGGTCATTAGTGTGTAATGAATCAAATCCATACTTGAGGTGTTTTCTAAATTTAGGTGGGATATGTTGAAGGTCGCATTTTGGCTCTCATAGACTTGCTTTAATTTTCTTCAGCTTTAGTCTGAACTTGCATATGAGCAATTGATTGTCCAGTCTCCCCCTGGCCTTGTTTTGGCTGATGATATTGGGCTTTTCCATCGTCTCTTCCCACAGATGTAGTCAATTTGATTTCTATGTATCCATTTGGTGAGGTCCATGTGTATAGTCATCTTTTATGGTGTTTTTAAAGAGGTACTTGCAATGATTAAGTCATTGCTCTTGCAAAATTCTATTATGTGATTTCCAGCATGATTTCTATTACGAAGGCCATATTTTTCAACTACTGATTCTTCCTTGTTGTTTCTAACCTTTGGATTCCAATCACTAGTAATTTTCAGTACATCTTGATTTCATGTCTGAACAATTTAACACTAAAGAAGTTGGTAGAATTTTAAATTTTCATCTTTACTGGCTTTAATGGTTGGTGTGTAAACTTAAATCATAGTGGTATTAACTAGTCTTCCTTGTAGATGTCTGGATTTTTTCCTGTCATAGACAGAATTATGTTTCAAGATAGATCTTGAAATGCTCTTTTTGATGATGAATACAACATCATTCATCTTTAATCTGTCATTCCTCATATGATTCATAATTTGTCATTCCCCATAATAAACCATATTATTATCCCATTTAAAATGGCCAGTACCAGTCCATTTCAGTTCATTAATGCCTAGGATCTTTATGCACTCCATTTCTGACAACTTCCAATTTTCACTGGAAACACCAAATGGTTTAAAATTAGGAAAAGTGTGTGCCAGGGATGTATTCTTTCACCATACTTATTCAATCTGCATGATGAGCAAATAATTTGAGAAGCTGGATTGTCTGAAGAAAAACATGGCATCAGGATTGGAGGAAGTGTCATTAACAACCTGCAATACGTAGATGATACAACCTGGCTTGCTGAAAGTGAAGAGGACTTAAAATACTTACTGATGAAGATCAGAGACCACAGCCTTTGATATGTGTTTTTTCTCAATGTAAAGAAAACAAAAATCCTCACCATTGGACCAATAAACAACATCCATAGAAGTGGAGAAAAGATTGAAGTTGTCAAAAACTTCGTTTTGCTCAGATCAACAATCAACACTCATGGAAGCAGCAGTCAAGAAATCAAATGATATGTTGAATTAAGCAAATCTGCTGCACAATACCTCTTTAAAGTGTTGTAGAGAAAAGATGTCAGTTTGGGGACTAAGGTGCACCTGACCCAAGCCATGGCATTTTCAATAACTTCATGTGAAAGTCAGACAATGAATAAGGAAGACCTTAGAAGAATCGAAGCATTTGAGTTATGGTGTTGGAGGAGAATATTAAAAGTACCATGGACTACAAAAAAAAAGCAATCTGTGTTAGAAGAAGTACAGCCAGAGTGCTCCTTGAAAGCCAGGATGGCCAGATTTCACCTATCCTACTTGGGATATATCATCAAGAGAGACCAGTCCCTGGAGAATGATATATCATGTTTGGTAAAGTGGAGGGTCAGAGAAAAGAAGAAGACCTCCAATGAGATGGATCGGCACAGTGACAGCAGCTATGGGCTCAAACATAGCAAAGCTTACGAGGTTGGTGCAGGACCAGGCAGTATTTTGTTGTTATGCATAGGGTTGCTATGAGTTGATACCATCTCAATGGCACATAACAAAAACAACAACAAGTTAGTCTTGTTCTACTCCCCTCCCCTGTGCAGTAGCTGTCTTGAAGATATTAATCGGTATTTCTGATGTGGATCCATGGCTCTGGAGGGAGCAGAGTAGACCTTGTTTTTCAAGAAATATGTTTGTCTGTTTTGATCTATCTGGGAATTCCATGAAAGACTGATGCAAAGAGCTTGCTTTGCTTTCACCAAAATCTAAAGTTTTTCATAGTAGAAAAGTGATAGAGTAGAGAGTGTACTTCAAGCACATTGACTGGTAGATGAACAAATCATTGCCAACTGGGATAGAAAATTACAATTGGGCAAAAAACAGGCATGTCCAAGATCTGGCAGGAAATCTCAGAAGAGAGTTACTTTGGGTACTAAGGAGTTTGAAAGGCTTCAGCATATAACAGGGACTGTAGAAAACCACATGCATGACCAAGGCAGGATGCGTGCTGAAAACTGACTTGAGAAAACTTTAAGCTGTCACCTCTGATTGATCTTTTGGCTCAATGTAAGCAGGAATGGAAGACTAAGGCAGAGTTGTAAATGAACTTAGTGTTGATGGAGTGCCCAACAAATAGCCAATCTTTCATGGAGACTGTTTTCTTTCCTTTTTTTTTTTTGACTTTAGGCATTTAAGTAAATCTTTGTCAAACCAATAGTTGACCATAGCCTAAGAGGACAGAGACTTCAGAGACAAAATAGGATGAAGAAGAGAGTTTAAAAAATAGTTAACGGGCTACCAAACAAACAAGTAAGACACAAGAAATCATGAGGAAGTGGAAGAATTTGATTTTCAGAGTTAGCATTTCAAATGTCAAATTCTCCACCAAATATTTCACATGCAAGGAAAGTAAATATGGACCATTTATAGAAAACAGAAATTGACAGAAACGTTCACAGGAACACAGACAGTGGAATTAGTAGACACAAATTTTAAATCAACTGTCTCAGTATGCTAAAAGAGATAAAGGAAACCAGGGAAATTATGTCACAGCTAATAAATAAATAAAACATTTTTAGAAAGAAAAAAACATTTTAAACTATATAACAATCTTTATTATGAAAAAGTAGCTGAAATGACAATGAATAAATTACAAAAGTAGAACTTGGTAAAAAGAAAATAAAAACAATAGACAAGACCAAACCAGAGTGTCCAGTTTTGCTTCCCTGTAAAATCCACCTATTCTTTATTGATTTCTCCTCACAGTTCTGAACCAGGAATTGATTCCCTTTGAATGTTTCTCTTCAAATTCTAATCCCCTGACTTGAAGGCACTAAACAGAAACACGTACTCATACTATATATTATTTGGAAAACAGTGTGCTGAGAGATGGTTATGGTTAAATCACAAGCATCTCCATTGAATGTTATTTCTAAAAGGAGGTTTTGGAGACGTGAAAGTGTGCCCATATCTACAGGTGTTGATGAACCCAAGATTGGCAGATGAGACAGCCAGTTTCTGACTCATTGACTGCAGAGATGAATGGATCCCAAAGTTGGCAGGCAATATGGAAGGTCATTGGTTTAAGTCTCAAGAACTAGAGAACAGATGATTTGCGCCACATGCATTTCCAGAGACAGCAAAAAGCTAGAAAGCTTTGGCTGAATGTCCATATATATTGGATGCAGGCTACAACTCCCTTTTAATTTATTGGCAGCTCACAACAGATCTAATAATGGAAGTGATTATACATTATATCATTGGAGATAACTAAATCATGCTTAAACCAGAGAATCATGGCCCTAACAGTTGACACACAATCAAAACCATCACACAGGTAAGCTGGGTAGCTGAGAGTTGAATTAAATCATTTTATTCATTGGGATTTGCTCCTTGATACCAGGCCTAGAACTAAACACCATGGGTGATATAGAGGAAGGAGGAGACATAGTCCTGCCTGAGCTGATGGGACAGAGACACTACTTTTTGCCAGGGATATCTCTATGACTTTGAGAAAAACATAATTGTCTCTTTAATTATCTTCCTCCTCCCTCCTTCTTCTTTCTTCTCCACCTCTTTTCTTCATCCCTCCATCCTCTCCTTCCTTAAGTGCTTGAAAAGATATTCAAACAACTACAAATCGAGTAACTGTTTTCAGTGATAATTGAAATGTGAAGAATTTTGGACAATCAATCTTAATAAACAGAAATTTGTTCAGGAAATGTTTGTAGAAACAGTAATAATTTTGAGGCGTATTTGTAAGAAAAGAAGGTTCAAGCTCACCAGCAGCTCCTATACAGGGTTGCTATGGGTAGGAACCAACTCGACAGCACTTCCAACAACAGCAACATTGAAATTTAGGAAGATGCAGGGTCGATTTCTGGGCCATGAAAAATGTTTGTAAGTGCCCATGGCAGCCTTCATGTGGATTAAGTATAACAATCTCCAAAAGGTTGACTTGTACACCAAAATCCAGTAGCAACCGGGTCCAAGTGAAGCAGATCCCACTCCTGGACTTGCCAAAAGAGAGGCTGGCTACGTTTTCCTCCTGCCCACCAGCTTCTTCAGGACCCTTTTCAGGTCTTTGTTTCTCAGGCTGTAGATAAAAGGATTTAGCATGGAGGACAAAACTGTGTAGATGATTGTTGCTACTCGGTCCTTGACAGTGTAGCTGGACAGAGGCTGTAAATAGACATAGAAGATGCTTCCATAAAAGAGGGTTACCACAGCGATGTGAGAACCACAGGTGGAAAATGCTTTGTGTTTCCCTGCAGCTGAGGGAATCTTGATAACCGTGATGAGGATTCGTATATAAGAAAAAGAAATACATAAAAAGGGGCTCACCAAAATAACCAGCCCTTCTGTCTTTATCACCAATTCATTTAAATATGTGGAGGTGCAGGACAATTTCAGCAAAGGATTTATATCACAGAGAAAGTGGTGGATAACATTGGAGCCACAGAAGGTGAGGCGGTTTACCAGGAGAATGTGCAGGAGGGAATGGGGGTGAGCAATGCAACAGGAGAGGGCCAGCAACAGGACACAGCGGCGGTGGCTCATGGTGGTAACATAGTGGAATGGATCACAGATGGCCACATAGCGGTCAATGGCCATGGCTGCCAAGATGCAACTGTCAGTGTTGCCCAAAGCGTAGAGAAAATACATCTGTATCACACACCCAGCATAGGAAATGGTCTTCTTTTCAGACAAGAAGTTCACCAGCATGTTTGGAACAATAGCTGTTGTGAAGGAAACATCAGTGAAAGACAGGAAACTCAAGAAAAAATACATGGGGGTATGAAGCTGGGGGTCATAATAGATGGCTAGAATGATGAGCAGGTTCCCTATTAGAGTGATGAGGTACATGATGAGGAAGATGACAAAGAGTGGCTTCTGGTCCTCAGGCCTTGATGAGAGTCCCAGGAGGATAAACTCAGAGACACGGTTGGTTTGGTTTACTTTTTCCATGGTCACGGAGCCAGCTAGAATAGAGAAGATTCTACTGTTTGATATAAATCTCTTTTTATAACTTTAATCACAAAGAAGCTTATAAATCTATGCTGCTTCTTACCTCTACTTTTCATCATTATGGTCATGAATAACCACTATATGAGCAACTTGCCATCTTTGATGGTCTTTGATGCTGTCCTTCCCTCCAAACTATAACACTTCACAGGTTTCTTGTGTTGACAATATGAAATTGGGCAGGAGAATTTGCCTTCAGGAAGAGTTGAAATGTACTGATTCAGTTTAATGTTAAATCTTAAAATAAGTATTTACTGAGAAACTACTCTGAAAAAGGAATCCTGGTTATGCAGTGGGTTAAACCTGCATTGTTAACTGAAGGAAGCCTCAGTGATTCAAGCACATCAGCTATTCAAGTAAAGATTTAAGGTCTTGAAACTATGATATAGTTCTACTCTATGATAGGATCCTTATAAATTGGAATTGACTTGTTGGCAGTGGTTTTGGTTGACTTTGGACTCTGTGGAAAACACTATTCAGGGGATGGGGACACAACAGTGAGTATGTAGAGAAAGGTTTCACTTTGTGGAATCTTTCTAGTGGAAAAGACTGTACACACACCTATGTGTACATATATTCATATGTGCATATATGTGTGTGTAATCTACATTTAATGACAGTACTACATTTTATGATAAAAATAAAACAGTGTAGGTGGATAGAGACTGACAAAGTAACCTATTTTAGATCAAGTGATTATATGAGGGTAAGTGAAAAAGTATTGCTACAAAATCATAGAAACCTTTATTTTAAAAAATATCAAAATGTTACGTTATTCTTAAAATTTCTTCATAATAAACGCCCATGATCATCCTATTTCTTTTTATAAAGATACTCTATAAAGATAACACCTTTGGAATCCCAAGAAACAGTCACCATAAACTTATGAGCTGAATTCTCTGCCTTGAATTGAGCTGGCCCAGTAAATCCCCCTCAAAAACAACAGCTTTGATTGGACCTTTTTCTGTGTGTGTGAAGGTACCCTTATAAGATGAACACAAGTGTATTACTGACAAACTTATCTACCATCCACTGATTGCAGAGACATGTTTAAACACTTGTTTGGAGAATAAACAGTGCATACATGATTTGTAATAACAATACTTTCTGACTCAACCTCATATTTCCAGTTCTGTCATGCTAAGGTTTCTCTCTGAACTTCCTTTCCAGTAAAAGAGGTTTGCTAACATAATCAGTAGGCTATCAGAGAAATAATGAATCCAGGTCAGCATTTTGTGTTGTTGATTGTTTCGTCCTCAAAGGCACTGGTTTAAAACCTCATACTTCATAGTGAATGTTAAACAAATAACAAGTAAAAAGAATATTCCTTACAATGAGTTATTATTTTCTTCTAATTTCCCTAAACTTCATCATGTTCCTATATAAAGTTCATTCATCATTAAGCATGCTGTTTTCCATTTATACATTTCCCTGTGTATAAACCTTTGTAAACCATACTTACTGCTTTTTATGTGTATTTGTCCATACACATAAATAATAACTGTGGTTTATATTTCACTCTACTGTTGTTTTTTATCTCCACACAAATTGTTGAAGTAGATGTTCCAATTAATCTCTTTTGATCCCTTTCATTGTATGCATGCTCCACACTTGAAGTAATCCTTTCCCCTATATATCCTATAGCCCTTTGATACCATGAATAATAGTGATTCAAATATCTTCATGCATACAAGATGCTTTAGACTATTCATTCAGACTTTAAGAATGGGTATATTGTACAGACATTTTTTTTTTAGCAGTTCAAGGAATGACAACTTATTTACTTATTCATTCCACATTTAAAGCCTACTTTCTAGCAGTTTAACATCAGGCAAGCTATTAGATATTTTTAAACTTTAGTTTCTCATCTGTAAAGAGAGGCTATCGTAAATACTAATAAAAGTCCTAATATCTATCACATAAGATTTTATGGGTGAAGTGTATGTGTTTAAAGCACTCTGAACAGATCTAGGCACAGAGTAAATATTTAATACCACTACCTTATCAAACAATTGCTAATGCTTTTTCACCTCACCAAGTATTTGTGGATGTTCTCAAAAGTAACTGATATAAATATTAACAAAACCCATGTCTTCATACCATAATTAACAGGTTAAACTTTATATCAGTTTACAATTAAAAAAAAACATATTATTATATATTCCTGAGTGTTTCTGTGTATACCCCCCAAAACAAACAAACAAAGAACAGAGGGAATGGAAGCAAATACTGTTGAATGATGATGCATGGAGAAGATTGTAATCATTGCAATGAAATGATGTTGTAAAGCCAACGTTCTCCCATGTAAACTATCATTCAGTTCACAATAAAAACTTAAACATATATTTATAATCTGAAAGTATATCCATAATTTGTGTTTTACCTTCTGGTGAGCAGTACCTTCGTTACTTCTCATCATAACCTTTTGAGTTATAAGCGATTATTTTTCCCATTTTTCTGATGAGGAACCAGAAATAGACACAAAGTGATCAAATAAACACAGAAATAAGGTTGAAATTTCCATCAAACTCTGAAGCTCATACTTTTAAGCTCTATGCTACCTATTCTAATATTTGTGTAAAGTTATGAAAGTTTATATTTTAAACAATCATGTTTCAGATATGAACATAGGCTATATAGCTTCCCATTTTGATCATTTTCTACTTACACACACAATATATTCCCCCAAAATGTTTTGTTTTTTTCTTAAATCCCACATTAAGAAGTGTTGTTAAGAGTCGTTGAGTTGGTCTGACTCATAGCGATCCTGTATAGGGTTTCCAAGAGTGACTGGTGGGTTTAATTTCTAACCTTGTGGTTAGCATAGTTAGCAGTCCAGTGCTTGTCCTACAGCACCACACCAGGGCTCAACATCAAGAATAAGCCTTGGTTCTTACAATGGGAATCTGTCTTTCTGCGTTGAATGGCTTGTGGAATTTGACATTTATAATTTATGTGATTGAATGGCAACAATGTGGAGAATTTAATCTTGGAAGGTTGAGACGAGTGTGTCTGTGTGTGTGTATAGAACTGTGGTTTGATATAAAGTGCACTGGACTTGATGCAGAAGGTGATGTTTTGTATCTGATCTCCAATACTTGATCATTGGGTAGTTTTATCTTGTTTCAGGTAGATCTAAGGAGCTCTGGTAGCTTAGTGGTTATGAATCAGGCTGCGAACCTTAAGGTCAGCAGTTCAAAACTACCAGCTGTTCTGTGGGAGAAAGATGAGGCGTTCTGCTCCTGTAAAGACTTACAGCCTCAGAAATCCTGTACAGGGTTGCTATGGGTCGGAATCGACTCAACAGCACTTAACAACAACAACAATGAAATACCAGGGAGCACGGTGACTCTGTAGGAAAAGTACTAGACTGTGAACCACAAGAACGGCAGTTCGAGCACACCAGCCACTCCATGGGAGAAAGATGAAGTTTTCTGCTCCAGCAAAGATGTACAATCTCAGAAACCATATACAGAGTTGCTAAACTAGACAACACTTAACAACAATAACGAAATATCAGGTTTAAGTGCAGTTTGCAAAACATACAGCAGCAAAAGGAATTATTTGTGAAAAGAATGTGAAATGAAGAATATTTGCAGTGATCAAGTAAGATTGGGTACTCTCATGTCTCATAAATGCTGGAAGGGACTTTTAGAAATGAGAATCTGAGTGTATAATTCTAAAAGCTTGGTATATGGGATGGGAACTATTGTTTTTGTCTCTTCTACCTGAGTACCTATTTATTAGGAAATTGACACATTCTGGCCCACTGATCAAGGAGGGTGAGGATAAAGCAAAAATGCAGATTTAAATGTTAAGCTGAACTCTGTGACAAGCTGTGTCCGTAGGATTTATAGAACCAGAAAATCAAAATAAAAAACCAAACCTGTTGTCATCAAGTCAATTCCAACTCATGGTGATCTCATATGCTTCAGAGTAGAACTAGACTCCACAGGGTTTTCTCCACTTTCATGTTACAGAAGGTTGGGTTCTCTGGGAAACTGACTTTGAGAGGGACTGTTATTAATTAACTGCTGACTGTTATTAATTAGACTTCTTTTTGTTGTCTTTTAACGTGGAGCCAGTGGATGGATCCAAGTCATCAACCTTTCTGTTATTGGTCAAGAGCAAATCGTTTCTACCGTCCAGGTACCTTTACTGACAAGAAGGCTGAAACAAATACCTGAATGTGGTGGGATGGCCAAGTTAAGCAGGAATCCAGTGTACTGATGCTCACTTCCATTTCCAGACATCTTTTCTCTTTTTCAAATTTATTTAAAGCTGATCATCTTCCTGAATGACATTTCTCAATTGGCTCTGTTTCAGCCAAGATTACCTAAGTGTCCTTACATTTTCCCTTTATTTTTCTAACTTTTTAGTCAGTGACAAATAAGAAGAGATCAGATAAAGATGGAAAGAGCAGATAGACTTATCTAGATTCTAGAGGAATTAAGTGTTTTCCTGATACTGTTTCACATCCCTTTCTCTTTCTCAATCTCTGACTTGCAGAATTGTTAACTACTTCACATCATAGAAGGGGCAGAGATACCCAGATTCCTGTGGCCAGAACTCTGTTGGGTAGTGAAGTCCAACAAATTCTTATGGGTTTGAAGTCTGTGCTTCCAATCTCCTTGGGGCCCTTAATGAGCTGAGGGCACTGTGCTGAGCTCACACCATCTTGATTCCTCAGAGAAATTTGCTCTGTGAATCTTCTAGTTGCAGAAATCACAATGGGCATCAGAATTGAGTATAGTTGCCCTTAAGGGGCAGGGTCCTTCAAACTTAACCATAACATCTCCAGGGCATGCTTGAATTTTCCCAACTGTTCAGTACTCAAAGGTTGTGGGATATTGTGTGAATTTAGTGAATAGAGAGTGTTTTAGCTTGTGAATAGCACTGGGAAACTGACTTTGAGATGGCTATCAGCTTGCATTATGCTTATT